GTTGCATGTTTGAGGAACAGCAAACTGCGAATCACGATCAATAAGAAGGAATTATAAAAGAGTAGAATAATTCTACAATGCCTTTTGTGAAGTGAACAAAGGGATTATAAGAAAAAGGATCCAGCAGGAGCTGAATTAACTTTCTAATGGTAGCAAAGCCGTGAGCAATTAGGACATGTAAAGTACATTAAAATTTTATGTCATAAAACAGTGGTTTGAGAGTATCTTTTTTATGAATAGATTTTTATATTACATCCAGTTGGATTTGTGGTCAAATGTGCACTTTAAGAATTACGGGGCTTCACAAAAATAGTTCCGGTTCCGTAATTGCGTTGTTTAAATGAAGTGCTTTCGCTAAGCCGGTTACAGTGTGTACTGTTGACTCTAATAAATGAATCAAAGCAAAGAGATTGGCGGTGAAGTAGGTGGAGGAAAACATGATGTGTGATCTGGTAACACACCTTGAGACACTGACGATAAGATACAGGGGCTAGCTAGATTGTTTTGAAAGCGTTCACAGAAGTGGGAAAAGTTATTTGCTCACGTACAGTTAGATGCAAAAAGGAGTAGAAGGAACTTTCAGAGATATGAATTGATAACGTGTCTACATAAATAAGTGAAAAATTTCATTTTTAACAGAATAAGTGATTAATGTATTCATTTAGCTTTAATTTAGCATTAGCTTTCTTCGTATTTTAACGAGATATGGATAGACGGTTGGGAAAATTACCTATTTTTGAAAGATTTTTATTTATGAGAAACGCTTTACGCTTTAGAAATGCACGCTTTAGTGAGTATTTTTTCATGCCTCTTACTGCACTCTTTTCTTTCTTTTGCAATGTAAACGGCAGGAAATTAAGGAAGTCAATAGCTCGCATGGGAAGTTTGGTTTCATATCAAACATTGAATCTTATTCACAGTCTCACTAATCTCTTATTTTGGAGGTTTTATTTTTGCAAATTGTTTCAAGCAAGATATTTATGAAGGAAAGCAAGTTTGTTAATTACAATAATGGATATTACTTGGATTTTGGGAACCGTCTTGGGCATAAACGTGGATTTCTAAAGCATCTGCGAAATTCGGGAGTTCACTTATAGACCTATCCTTATCTTTTGAAGTAGAGTAACAACAAACTCAACAGGAATTCAAATAACACAGGAATACAGGCTAAAGAAGTATTTTCTTCAACCGAGCAACACTGGTTTTACGGCACTGTTTTCTGTTGATTTCTTGTTAAAAAACATTGAGAAACAATCGAATCTAAATTGTTAGGATTTTTGTTATTGCCTTACCCGTAAAGGACTGTGTATTATTTTGCTTGACA